GTCTGTGTATGTGTACGTCTGGGTATGAATAAATATGGGTATGAATAGGTCTCAGTATGAGTAAGTTTGTGTGTGAGTAAGTCTGGGCATGAGTAAGTCTGAATATGAGTGAATCCGAGTGGGAGGAGACGAGAAGATTACGGGACGAGAAGAGGAATGATAAGGTGGAGTAGGAGGCGTCCAAGTAATAAGAATAACCCCATCTTAGGATATGGGGAAAAACGAATCTCTCTCCATCTGTGTAAGGGTTGGACTTGTTCAAGACGAATGTGAGCGGCGTTGAGGCGATAACCGCATTTTGAGAACGACCCGCCCTCCGTCGGTCCGTGGATGTTTCAGGTGGCAGGCCCATTCAGGGGCCACCCTCCATCCTTGGACAAGGGCCCGATTCGGCTTCAGGCCCGTTTCGGCTCCGCCCGTTTCGGCTTCAGCGCGTTTCGGCTTCAACTCGATTATGTTTCGGCTTCACGGCCCGGGTGCGAGAGCGAACCTGAAAGCAGAAACGGGCCGAAGCCGAAACGGCCAGAGCCGAAACGGGCAGGAGCCGAAACGGGCCGGGACGAAACGGGCCAAAGCCGAAACGGACCGGGACGAAACGGGCGGAGACGAAACGAATCGAAGCCGAAACGAACGGATGAGGCCGAAACGGGCCGAAGCCGAAATGGGATTCGGGTCCCGTTGCGTCTTCTTGCCCCCCGGGTAAACACGAAGCGAGCTCAGGAGCTCCATCGAGGCTCGGAACTCTGTTTCGGACGAGGTGCCCCTGACCATCACCCCCGTCATCGGTTTCCGGACCGAACCCAGACCTGGCCGACGTCGCACACCGACTGAAGCCGAAGTCGAACACGCGCGTGCGCCCCGAGAGGCGCCCAGGACGGCCCCAGCGGCGCCACCAGCGGCCCCCCCCACGGCAGCCCTTTTGGCTCGAGCCGCGGTGCTGCTCGGCAGAGGCGCCCAGCGGGGTGCCGAGGGGTGCCTGCCCCGACTCCTCCCCGGCGGGCGGCAGCGGCGCTCGCGCAGACGCATCCGCACCCCGCCCCTGCGCGGGGCGGGCGGGTCGGTCCCCCGCTCAGCATGCCGCGGGCCAGCAGAGGACTGCTGCTGGCACTGCCAGCCGCAGGCGCGCTGTTCGGGGCGGGCCCGATCGAGACTCCCAAAGAGGAGACGGCCGCCTACTACCCGCCCCTGTCGGGGGACCTGCGCCTCGGAGTCGTGGCTAAGCTGACGAGGCGCAGCGGGTGCGGCGCGGCCCGCGTGGTGGCGGCCACACGTGCGGTGCACGACGTGAACACGCGCAACGCCACCTTCTGCCCAGCCATTGCCAGGCTCGGCCCTGCCGACCTCTTCAATGTCTCATTCGACGTCATGGACCACGGCGGCGACTCGGAGCGCGCAATCCAGGCGGGCATGTATTTCAGCGGCATCGTGGGGAAGTCTGGATTCGGCCTTTATGGGCAGCCCGTGCACGGCATCATTGGTTTCACCACGTCGGGCGCGTCCGCGGACGGCGCAAAAGCTATGCAGGCACTGGGGATGCCGATGGTTTGCTACTCCGCCACAAGCCCACTGCTATCTCTGAGGGTAAGCGGCGAGCTCCAGTACCCAAACTTCTTCCGCGTCTGCCCAGGCGACCAGAACCGCGTGCGGGCGGCCGCACGCGCCATATCGCAATTCGGGTACACCAGCGTGGTCTCGTTTTATTTCAGCAATGACTACACGCGCAGCATGTGCAATTCCTTTGCGAGTGCCGCCACGTTTCTGGGCATGACCGTGGTCTCAAAGGAGGTGCCCACGACGGATGGTAACAGTGGCAGCCCGCCAGACGAGAATGCCAAGCAGCGTATCCGGGAGGTGCTAACCGAAATTCACGAGGATCCATCCATGCCCCGAGTCATCATGTTGTGCGCCTTCGATGCAGAGTTGCCCGAGGTGCTGAGGCAGGCCGAGAGCATGGGGCTGCGCAAGAGGGAACACAACTATGTCTGGTTCCATCCCGACGACGGTGGGTTTGACGACCTGCGTGACGCATTGGGCACCTTCTCGGTCAGCTGGATCCCCGACTCCGACCGCACGCCGCTCTTCAAGCAGGCCTGGAATAGTGGCGATCTCCGAGCCGGCGGTTTCGAGTACAAACTTGGTGAGAGTATTTGCGGGTCCTCACAGAACGAGTCGTGTTGGGCCATGCCCAGGGGCGAAACCTGGAACGAGGACTATGGCGATTTCTTCAGATACGTGGATAATACGACCGAGACAGCGCAGAACAGCTTCGATTTTTGTAAGCCCTACACGCAGTTTGGCTACGACAGCGTTGTGATGTACAGTGCGGCCATGCACAAGGGTCTCGACACAGGCGTTTTCACCAAAGAGTCTGTCACCAGCGCGTTGCTGGAAGAGATGTTAAGGAGCTTGGTGAACGACACCAGGTACGGGGAATGCTTGGCAGGTGGCAATCTCGCGTTCAATGCTGACCAGGAGCGCAACCTGCCGTTCATGGTGAAGAACGTTTACCTCGACGCCGACAACGTTGCGCGGAGCACCGACGTCGTCATGGTGCCATACCAGACCTCAGACGCTCTGCTGTACCAGGCCTCCTCACACCTGGCCTCGTGCTCCACGGACTACCCCGCCGAGAAGTGCTTCCGGCTGGACGGCGGGGGCCCGCTCAGCGGACGCTTTCCGCTGGGCCGGGCGGCGACTTGCGCAGACGGCGCGTACTGGCACAAGGGCGGGTGCGTTCGGTAGCAAATCATGGGAGCCTTGTGTACCCTCGTAATTCTGTCTCTAGCGTCGACTAGCGTCGATTAGCGTCTGGGAGTCGATGAGATAGTGCCGATTTAGCGTCGGTTAGCGTCGATTTAGCGTCGACTAGCGTCGATTTAGCGTCGATGAGCGTCGATTCGCAAGAGCCGACAAGCTGGTGTGGAAGGCTCTCATGAGTTGCCACCAAAGGTGCGTGCCAGCCGACCTCGGCTACTACGTCCCCAAGATGGCAGCGGGCCAAGCCGCCCCCTACAGGGCGCAGATCGCCTGCCCTGCGGGCTCGTACACGAACGCGACGGGTCAGACCGTCTGTGCCCCCTCCAGGCTCGGGCCGAACGCAAGGGGCGCATAGGGAAAGGGGGGGGGGTACGAAATCTGCTGCATGCAGCTGGTTTCGGCCCCGCCGCTGGGCCCATTCCTCGATACATGGGCGCCTCCCGGCGCCGGGAGGCGCTTGGAAAATCAGCCACGCGAGCTGATTCTCTACCCTACGCTTGGCTACGCCCCCCTTCCGTTCTCCCCGACAGGCCTGGCCACTTCGCGAGCGAGGACTCCACGAGCGAGGTGCCGTGTGCCCCGGGCACGTTCTCGGACGAGAGGGGCGCCGCGGTGTGCACCGAGTGCGCTGCTGGCGACTTCCAGGAGCAGCGAGGCCAGACGAGCTGCAGCCGCTGCGAAGTGGGCAGGTACCAGGACGAGAGCGGTCGGTCCAGCTGCATCGGCTGCCCAGCTGGCCGGACGACCGAAGCGATCACGGGTGAAGCCTGGGGCGCCACCGCGAACGCCCACGGCGCATCGGACGCTAGCAGCTGTTACCCTTGCGAGCCTGGCGAGTATTCGGTCAACAATCGGCCCTGCGCTCAGTGCGGTGCCGGAACAGTCGCGCCGTCTTACGGAAGCACGGAATGCCAACAGTGCCCTGCTGGAAAGTCATCTACGGAGGGATCAGCAGAGTGTGAGTCTCCCGTATCTTACATCGTTGGATGCGCTGTCGCAGCGAAACTGCTGGCAGTCGCCGCCGTGCTGCTGAGCCTCTCGGCGTGGCGAATAATTCTGATAGACGACATATCTCGGCAGGGAAATGCAGTGGTTGTTACCTCAGCAGGCCGACATCTCTTGGTACAGTGGCCTATGTGTCTCGTTGGCGGTTCTCTACCAGTTTGCATCACGGCAATACCCGTGGGCACTCGTAATCAACTGCAGTCGGTGCAGGATGCCATGGAAGGCCAATTTAGGGTCAGACGAATCGACCAGAGATCTCTAGAATTGCTGACGGCGGAGGGGCTTCCCATAATTCAGAGAGTAGACGCGTCCACTGGCAGATTGGAGTTGCCTGTCCTGATGGGCTTCTTGTGCACTGGAAGGTCCAATATCACTGTGGCCGTTATCGTGCCTCTGCTGCTCACCGCAGCCGCTGCCATCATATACGGGCTCCCGCTCACAGCCCGTGAAACCATTGCGGTATCGATCTCGTCTGCCGCTTGTGGAGCGCTCGCCTTGGTCTGGAGACTGCGCGCCGTAGCTGGTTGGCCACACCGCACCACCAAGGCTGTCGCGTTATCTCAGTTCAAGAAGCACCTCACAAACAACCGTGACAAGTACAGACAGTTGCCCTCCCTGTACAGTGCAAGTGCAGACTACTGCTCCGTCATGCATCCGAGGTCAACCAGCAGGCGCTTTACCCGGAAGTCAATCAGCAGCATATTCGCCGACGATCTTCGGGTTCCATCAGCCGGCCATCGGGCCGTGAGCATCGGCCAGATGGTTGACTTGACGGAAGCGTTCAGTCACTTCATACGCGATCGGAGCATGTATTATGTTGTCCCCGAGCTGGTCCAGCCGCTCACGCAGTCAGAACGGTTGTCTTATGCAGAAGTGGCCGGGTGTGGCAGCATCGACTGGTTCGTGTCCCACTTCTGGGGCGACCCCTTCGCAGAGTTTGTGCAGAGTCTGCAGAGGCACGCGATCTGCGAGGCAGAGAGGATTTTGGCCGGTTCGGATCAGCCTCGCCTCTCTGAGGCAGTCACGATGCCCGATCGGGAAGTATGGCGCGTGATTCGTTATTGGGTTTGTTCATTCTCTGTCAATCAATGGAGTGTTGACGATGAGCTCGGCGATGCGCATTTCGAGGATACACCGTTCTTCCAAGCGTTGTGGAACAGTTCTTGTCAAGGAACTGTGATGGTGATACAGGAGACAGCAGAGCCACTCAAGCGGTCGTGGTGCCTTTTCGAAGTCTTGCAAACAGTAAGTCGCCTCGACGAGTCGAAGACTTCCAGATTCGAAGGATTACAATTTGCCACCCGGTCAGGTGTAGTTAATGCCGGCACAGCCTCCGTTGACACAGTATTACGGATCGCTGCGCTCGTTGGCGACGTGTATTTTGAGCACGCCCGTGCTACACAGCAGAAGGATCAGGACATGATTCGCAAGGTGGTTCAGACAAGAGGGGGCTTCGCTGTCCTGAACAGGTTCGTGCGCAGCGCAGTGTGGGACATTGTCCTCGAGAGCAAAAGAAAGCTAGAGACCAGCATCTATGAGCTCGGCTGCCAGCTCAGGGAGACTGAGTTCGCGGCCCACAAGCATTTTGAGGTGACCATCCTGGGGGCCAGCGGGCTCAGGAGGGCCGACCCGCTGACCTCGTCGAGTCCGTCCTGCGTGTGCCGAGTCCTGGGCAGCCTGGAGCTGGAGCCAGTGCAGACGGGCGCGGTCCTCGACACGGCCTTCCCGACCTGGAACTTCGGGCCCTTCCACGTCGAGGCGCAGCAGGTCGTGGGCAGCGCGCTGGAGTTCAGCGTCCTGGACCCGGACCTGCGGTGCTCTGCGCTCCTCCCGTTCGACAGCGCCTGGCCCAGCGGGTTCTCCGGCGGGCTCCGGCTCGAGGGGCCGGGCGCCCTCCCCGGCGCCACCCTGACGGTGAGCGTGGCGGTGGCCAGCTCGGCGGAGCAGGCCGCCGAGGAGGAGGAGGAGGTCTTCGAGCTCTAGGCGCCAGGCGGCGGGGCGCGGGCGCGGCGCCAGAGCGCAGAGGGGGGTGCCGCCGGCTGCGCGGTGGGGCGCCGCGACCCGCGAGAAGCCGGGGGCAGCGGGCGGGCCTGGGCGCGCGGCCCCGCGGCGGGCGCCGAAAAGGGCAGGCCCGCGAGGGCTTCGCGCCTCCCTGCTGCCATCGGAGGCCTCGGCTGCAGACGCCTCCCTGCGGCCCGTGCGCACAGACGTCGTGCCTCTCGGCACGTCGCCGAGGCGGCGGCCAGCGTCGAGGGGGGGGCGTGCGCCGGCTGGCAAGCGGCGGGTGGGGGCGTGCGCCGGCTGGCGAGCGGCGAGCGGCACGTGGGGCAGCTCTCTGGGCGCCGCAGGCAGTCGCGGGGCGGCCTTGGAGCGGAGGCCGCCAGCGGAGGTCCTCCTGGAGGGAGACGGTGCCGGCGCGGGCAGGGCTCTCTGGGCCGCGGGCCTCGGACGAGCTCGGGAGGAGGCTGCGGGAGCCCCAGGATGCCACGGGCCGCCTCGTGAGAGGCAGCTCCTTCGGGCGAAGAGATCAACATAGATTCAGAAAGTCCAGGGTCCGCTAGGACTTGGTCTCCTTTCAAAACAGCTGAGAACCTCCCGAATCCCTTCGAAAACCCTTCTGGAATGGTTCCGGCAGGCTCGTCGAAGAGTTTGGGGAGGGTTTTGGAAGGATTTTTTTTGGGGGGGAAACCAGTCCCTAGCGAACCAAGGCTTTCTAAGTGTGTGTATATATACATATATATATATATATATATATATAGATGGCGTCGCCCTACCCTTGAGCCTGTGCTCAGGCAGGCTAGTTTGCAAGGGGGGTTCGGTCGCTTCCATACGTTCGGTCGTTGTGTTTTTTTTGCGTCGCTGTGCCCTCATGGGCTGCTTGCGGCCTGTCGGTTTCGGACGGTTTCGGATTCGATTTCTGTTCGGAGTAACACGCTTGTAATTTTGCTTCTAGTGTTTCGTCGGAGATCAGCCGTGTCTCTGCCGCGTGCCGTGAGGAGTTCAAGGACTGCTGTCTGAAGTAGCCAGTTTGGGCAGTCTCAAGGATTGCGTTCTGACGTCGGCAGCTGGGCAGTCTTCGTCATTGGAGTCTGGCAGACACTTGTTGTTGATTTGTTTTTGCCGTTCCCTGTAAGACAGGTGTTTCAGTTTCTGACTCGACCCCTCCTCCCGCCGCCATTCGCTCATGCCATTCCGCATAGCAACACTGCATAGTGTCCTCCCAAGGCAGTGCCTGCTATATTTGAATCGGTGGAGCGTGTGTCTACATCTCCCTGAATTTTCTAGACAGTGAACCGCACTGACAAGAAAACATCACGGTGTTAAAACCATTTCTGAGATGTGATGTGAACTTTTTCCTCACAGTGGTGGAGGCTTTTCCTCACAGTGCTTTGGCTGCCTGCATCTCTCGCTTGCCTGTTCCACTCGTTTCACGCGGCCTGCCTTGCGCGCCGTTAGGGGATGCAATGGCTGTGATGTCCGGTTTTTCTGGCTCGTTCAACGCTGCCTGCCTCGCGCGCCGTTTCATGGAGGCGCCCAAAACGGCCCGAGAGAGGTCCAAACAGTTCCCAAGACGGCCCAAGAGCGCTACAGGAGAGTCCAAGACCGCCCAAGAGCGTTCCCAGATGGCTTAAGCTGGCCTGCAGACGGTCCCAGAAGGCCCCAAGATAATCCCAGAGGCTCTTACAAGGACCCCCGAGGGCCTGACTAGATTTTTCCCAACCATCCTGTGGTGTTGGGTCCGCGTTTTGAAGAGACATCGCCCCGCGTCTCCTCCCGCTGCCCCCCCTCCCGCTCCTCATCATCAGCATCATCGCCACTATCATCACCTCTCACGCGTTTCGTGGCCCCATAGGGAGCTCCACCAAAGGCCCAAGTGGGGGTGGCCACATGCGTCGGCCACACCCAGTACAGCGTTTCGTGGCCCCATAGGGAGGGAGCTCCACCCAACGGCCCAGTGGGGGTGGCCATATGCGTCCGCCACACCCGTGTCGGTACACCCCTCACATGTTTCGTGGCTCTATAGGGAGCTCCTTCTAAGGGCCCCGTGGGGGTGGCCACATGCGTCCGCCACACCCAGTACAGCGTTTCGTGGCCCCATAGGGAGCTCCACGGGAGGCCCAAATGGGGGTGGCCACATGCGTCCGCCACACCCAGTACAGCGTTTCGTGGCCCCATAGGGAGCTCCACCTAACGGCCCAAGTGGGGGTGACCACATGCGTCGGCCACACCAGGTACAGCGTTTCGTGGCTACATAGGGAGCTCCATCGGAGGCCCTAGTAGGGGTGGCCACATGCGTCCGCCACACCCGTGTCGGTACACCCCTCGCATGTTGCGTGGCTCTATAGGGAGCTCCTCCTAAGGGCCCCGTGGGGGTGGCCACATGCGTCCGCCACACCCAGTACAGCGCTTCGTGGCCCCATAGGGAGCTCCACCGGAGGCCCTAGTAGGGGTGGCCTAATGCGTCTGCCACCCAGTACAGCGTTTCGTGGCCCCATAGGGAGATTCACCTAAGGGCCCAGTGGGGGTGGCCACATGCGTCGGCCACACCCAATACAGCGTTCCGTGGCCCCATAGGGAGCTCCACCGAAGGCCCCAGTGAGGGTGGCCACGTGCGCCCGCCACACCCAGTACAGCGTTTCGTGGCCCTATAGGGAGCTCCATCGGAGGCCCCAGTAGGGGTGTCGGGGGTGGACAGACCTCCTACCCTGACACGTCGATTAGCGAATTGGCCGTTTTCGGTTCGCGAGAGGGCGTCGCGGCCGTCATTTTTGCGGGTCCAGGTCCGCCGGTTTCGGTCCCAGGCCTTTTTCACTAAAAATTTTCTAAAGGAAGGTTTGTCCACCGCCGAGGGTGGCCACATGCGTCCGCCACACCCAGTACAGCGTTTCGTGGCCAGTGGGACCGTCCGCATGCGCCCCGCACACACACACAATTTGGCATTTTCACCCACCCAGTGCAGCGTTTCGTGGCCCCATGGGGAGCTCCACCGAAGGCCCCAATGGGACCGCCCGCATGCGTCCCGCACGCCCAATTTAATATTTTCACCCACCCGGTACAGCGTTTCGTGGCCCCCACAGGGAGCTCTACCGAAGCCCCCAGTGGGACCGCCCGCATGCGTCCCACACGCCCACTTTCGTATTTTTACCTACCCAGTACAGCGTTTCGTGGCCCCATAGGGAGCTCCACCGAAGCCGCCAATGGGACAGCCAGTATTCGTCCCGCACGCTCAATTTGGCATTTTCACTCGTACATTGCATCGTTTCGTGGCCCCGTAGGGGGCTCCACCAAAGCCCCCAGTGGGACCGCTCGCATGCGCCCCGGAAGCCCAAATTGGTATTTTTACCCACCCAGTGCAGCGTTTCGTGGCCCCATAGGGAGCTCCATTGAAGCCCCCAGTGGGACCGTCTGCATGCGTCCCACAGCTCCACCGAAGGCCCCAGTGCTGCCGCCCGCATGCGTTCCCCCCCACCCAGTGCAGCGCTTCGTGGCCCCATAGGGAGCTCCACTGAAGAAGAAATTCACAATTGCGGCACCCACACCTGCATATGGTTGGGTCCGTCGCCAGGATAATTATAGGTTTTTGGGTTTGGATTCTTACCTTTTCGGGCTTCGACGTCCACAAGGTACGAAAGGCCCCAACAGGACCCTCAAGCAGGCCCAGAGACGCCAAATAACAGAGGCTCCCAATGCTTCACATTGACGTGACAAACTCGTAACATCAATGCTCCCAAGAGCGAGCGGTGACGTAAACAACTCCTAACACCAAGGCTTCCAAGAGCGAGCGGTGACGTAAAAAGCTCTGAATACAAAGCTCCGCAGAGCCCATAATGACGCGACAAGCTCTGCACACCAAGGCTCCCAAGAACGACCAGTGACGTTGAGCACTGTTCACATCAAGGCTCCCAAGAGCGAGCGGTGACGTAAAACGTTCTGAGCACAAAGACCCCCAAGTGCCCATTATGACGTGACAAGCTCTTCACACCAAGACTTCTAGGAGCTCTCGGTGACGTGACAAGCTCTTAACACCAATGCTCTCAAGAACGAGCGGTAAAACGTGAACTGCCTTTAACACCAAGACTCCCAAGAGCGGGCGGTGATGTAACAAACTCTGAACACCAAGGCTCCCAAGAGCGAACGGTGTCGTGAGACAGCTCGGGCTTGTTCCTCAACGCTCTTTCCGTTCCCGTGCCGGCCCAGGTGACGGAAAGAGCGAGCGAGGTGCGAGTGAAGACATTCCGGTGGGGCGACTCGCCCTCCAGGGAGGGGTTCCAGGGGAGGGGCGAAGAGCGCGCGCTCTGGCGAAACACGCGCGCGCGCGCGCGCGCCCCCAAGACGGCCCCAGAGGCGCCCAAGGCGGCCCAAGAGGCGCCCAAGACGGCCCAAGAGGCGCAGCCCCAGAGAGGTCCAAGGCTCAAGACGGCCCAAGAGCGCTCCAGGAGAGTCCAAGACCGCCCATGAGCGTTCCCAGATGGCTTGAGATGGCTTCAAGACAGTTCCAGAGGGCCCCATGATGGTCCCAGGGGCCCTTGAGAGGACCCCCATGGAATTTTGGAGGAATCGAACTTCCCTAGGGTTTTGTGGGTTTTAGGGATTCTCGCCTTTCTGGACTTCCGACGGCCCAGGACGGCCCAAGATCCCAATAGGGCCCCAAGACGCTCCAAGAGGGCTCCTAGACGGTCCCACAGGGCCCCTGGACGGCCCAAGAGGGCCCCTAGAGGCTCCCAAGAGAGCCCCAAGTGGGCCCCAAGAGGCTCTCAAGAGGACCCCCAGGGGCCCCAAAGAAAGCTCCAAAATGACCAACGCCCTCCAAGACGGCTCCAAGAGGGTCCCAAGAGGTTCCAAAAGGGCCAGAACCAGACCCTCAAGCAAGGCCGGAGACGCAAAATAACAGAGGCCCCCAAGAACCCACAGTGACGTGTCAAGCTCGTAAAATCAGGGCTCCCAAGAGCGAGTGGTCACGTAAACAACTCGTAACACCAAGGCTCCCCAGAGCGACCGGTGATGTAAAAAGCTCTTCACACCAAGGCTCCCCAGAGCCCATAATGACGCGACAAGCTCTTCACACCAAGGCTCCCAAGAGCGCATGGTGACGTTAAGAGCTCTTCACACCAGGGCTTCAAGAGCGCGTGGTAACGTGAAAGCTCTTCACACCAAGACTCCCAACAGCAAGCGGTAATAGAACAAACACTTAACACCAAGGCTCCCAAGAGCGAACGGTGTCGTGAGACAGCTCGGGCATGCTCCTCAAACGCTCTTTCTGTTCCCGTGCCGGCCCAGGTGACGGAAAGAGCGAGGTGCGAGTGAAGACGTTCTGGTCGGGCGAATAGGGAGGGGGCGCATGGGGAGGGGCGAAGGGGGAACGTTTGGGCATAACAGACCTGCCCGGCGGGAGGGGACGCATGGGGAGGGGCGAAGAGGGAACGTTCGGGCGTAACAGACCTGCCCGGCCCCAAGACGGACCCAGTGGCGCCCAGGACGGCCCAAACTACCATTGAGAAGGTCCCAGAGGTCCCAGATGGCTTCACGACGGCCCAAGAGCGTTCCAAGAGAGCCAAGACCGTCCAGGAGCGTAAGAGGGCCCCAAGATGGCCCCGGAGGCCCTTAAGATGAGCCCCGAGAGGGCTTGAGAAGGCCCAGCACATTGATGTTCCTCAGGTTTTTGTGGGTTTTTATGGTTTTCGCCCATTCAAGTTTCCGACGGCCCAGGACGGCCAAAGAGGCCAAAAGATCGTCCCAAGACGGCCCCAGAGGCTCTCAAGAAGGTCCCAAAACGCCCCAAGTGGGCCCTCAGACGGCCCCAGGGCCCAAAGACGGCACCAGGACACGGGCCCGATTCGGCGTCAGGCCCGTCCAGGGTGGCTCTGCCGAGGGGGGGAGAGAGGGGGGGGCGTGTGTGCGAAATCCCCCTCCCCCCCCCCCCCTCCCCCCTCTCCCCCAGGGGACCCATTTTGTTGTTGATTTGGGAAGGGTTCCAGGAAAACCACCCCGGAACTGGGGGGGAGGGAGCATCTCCTCCCTCCCCCCCGGCACCCCCCAGACGGGGGGAGAGCTCCCCAGATCGGCGGCACTGGCCAGAGGCAGTTCAAAGAATATCATGCTGGCCACTCGCGCGCGTCGGCCGCGCGCGCATGTCGAAATCTTTCCAAAGCCTTCATCACCGACGCAAGGACACCATCCTCGTCATCGGCGTGGTCAGCATCGGCGCCGTCAGCGGCCGTGCCGTCGTCATTGCCCCACCGTCGTCACCAGCATCGCTACTATCATCGTCGTGTCTGCCGTTGTCGACGTAGCCACGAAGCCGCGCCCGCCCGAGTCACCGACTCGCACTGAAGTGCCCACGCGCCAGCGTGGCCTGCGAGACGCGCTGGGAAGAGCCCAGCGGTCAGCGCCACCGCAGTCGCGTCGGTCGCGCCAGACTAGCTGGCTGCTCTGCGCGCGAGCCTGCGCGCGCTAGCGCGGCCGCAGCGATGCGCCAGGGCCAGCACCAAACAGTCATCGCAATCGCCGCCGAAAAGGTTTTGCAAATCAAGTTGCGGGTTGGTGTGTGGGATAGTTGCACGAACATGAGAAGGGGGCCACGCGCGGTGTAGGGTAGTCAATTGCACCGCTAGATTGCACCACGTAAGTTGCACAACACATTTCGCACAGCATATGTCATATGTTGCACATTATGGGTGGCACCACGTATATTCTCCTTTACACAAAGAGAATAAGCTTTACCCCCTTCCAGGTGATTATCGCATCCCCTTTCCGTAAGGCAATTTACACATGATTCCGCCCCATCGTCCATCCTAACTTTGAATTCATACCATCCCAGCCGAGCCGGTATCGCTCACCCCGCCATCTTCTGCAACATACATAATGCGCGCGCATTTGTTTGTGACACGAACATGGGAAGGGGGCCACGCGCGGTGTAGGGTAGTCAATTGCACCGCTAGATTGCACCACGTAAGTTGCACAACACATTTTCGCACAGCATATGTCATATGTTGCACATTATAGGTGGCACCATGTATATTCTCCTTTGCACAAAGATAATAAGCTTTACCCCCTTCCAGGTGATTATCGCATCCCCTTTCCGTAAGGCAATTTACATATGATTCCGCCCCATCGTCCATCCTAAATTTGAACTCGTACCATCCCAGCCGAGCCGGTATCGCTCACCCCGCCATCTTCTGCAAAATACATAATGCGCGCGCATTTGTTTGTGACAAATCTTGAGTATTGCAGAACCCCTGGCAACAAATGGGAGGAAGTGCGCACGCGCGCATCGTCGCGCGCGCATGCCGAAATCCTGAAAAAATTCCCGTTTCGAAAGGATCTTCAAATCGAGTGTGCAATACACATAAAAACGTGGTTTCGCAACACAGATTTTCAAAACAAACTTGTGCGCGCGTTCTTGCGAGCTCTTACGGGTACCCATGGATGTTCAAGATGCTCAGCACATGATATGAAACGCGTTTCGCGCGCGCATGTCGAAATCGTTGGAACGCCCTTGCGCGCGTGCCGTAGCGAGTCCTTTACAACAAACGTGACGAAAGGCACCCGCGCGCGTCGTCGCGCACGCATGCCCTAATCCGTCAACAATTTTTGGTTTCGTAGCGATTGCGAAACTGAGTGTCCAAACAAGTCACAACAACACATCGTTTCGCAACATCAGTTTTCAAAAAACGTGTTCTCGCGCTCTTGCGAATTCTCGAGAAAAGCGGGCCTCTCGCGCCGCATGCCGACATCATTCGCACGCCCTTGCGCGCGTGATGGGGGGGGCACGATCCGTGTCAAATAATAACGTGCGGGCCACTCTCGTGCGTCGGCCGCGCACGCATGTCGAAGCGTTTCCAAAACCTTCATCACCGACGCGAGGACGCCGTCACCGTCGTCGGCGTGATCAGCGTCGGCGCCCTCACTGGCCGCGTTTTCGTCGTTGCCAACATCGTCACCAGCATCGCGACTATCATCGTCGTGCACATTGTTATCAACGTTGCCATGGTGCCGATTCGCACTGAAATGCCCGGTGGGATGTGCCCAGCGGTCCGCGCCACCGCGGCTACGTCGGCTGCGCCAAACTACCTGGCCGCTGCGTGCGCGTTTGGGTTGGCGCGGCCGCAGAGATGCACCAACCAACGCCAAGCATGCACCGCAATCGCCACCGCGAGGGTTTTGCAAACCAAGTTGCGGCTGGTGGGTGGGATGTCTGCAGGTGCATGGGATGTGTCAATTCGTTTGCTAATTTCAACAGCGTCGCGTAGGATGCTCCGTTTCGATTGCACATTCCATTTTTCTACAAGCGCGTTATCTGGGGATCCACGGTGCTTAACGTATTAATGACATAAGAAATATGAGGCGATAACCCAATTTTGAGCATAGGATCCGCTCCTCATCAGTGTAGCTGCGTGTCGTAGAATTTTCTATTTATTCGAACATGCCAGTGACATGTGTGTGTGTGTGTGTCTGTGTGTGTGTGTGTGTGTCTGTGTGTGTGGGTGTGAGGTACCCGTAACCCTTTGGCTCAAACCCCCTTGGCTTAAACCGCTCTGGTTCGAGGGAAGCCGCAGCGGCTCGCGCCGCGGCGTTAGCGGTCGCCTGGCCACCGGCCTGCTTGGGGTGGGACTGCGAAGGAGCTCCCTCCCGTCACGGCCCCCCGGGCGCCCATGGAGTCCCACTCCGCTCTGCGCTGCCGCCAGCGGCGCGTGGCCGCCGGCCGGGCCGCTGGCGAGTGTTGGCGCCCCGCCGCCTGGCCTCGCGGCCGGCTGCCCTGCCGCCCTGGCCTCGCGGCCGGCCGCCGGCCACGCCGCCGCCGCCGCCGTCCGGGCTGGCGGCAGCGCCCGCTGGCTGCCTGCCATCGCGCCTGCCGCTGGCCCTGCTGGCGGGCGGGCCGCTGGCTGCCTGGCCGCGGCCGCTGCTGCGTACGGCGCGGCCCTCGACGCTGCAGAGGTCGCGGCGGCCGCCGGCCTTTGGCTGGCCGTCGCTGCCGGAACCTGGGCCGCTGAGCTGGCGTTTCGCGCAGCTGGCGCGCCTCAGGCAGCTGCCGCTGGGCGGGGATGGCTTGGTGAGCCTTTGCAGGCGGAGGCGTCTCTGCCCGCCGCCGGCGCCGCTGGCCTTGCCGTGCCGCCTTCTGGCTTAGCTCCGCCTGCGGCTGGCCTTCGCTGGCAGGCCGCTGGGTCTGGCGGCCTTGGGCGCTGCCGCGGCGGCCGAGGCTGTCACGGCGGCGTGTGCCGGTGCCGCCTCCGCCGCCGCAGCGGCCGTGGCTAGGGCGACCGCCTTGTCGCTGGCTGCTGCTGCGGCGGCTGCCGCTGGCGCTGCCGCTGGCGCTGCCGCGGCTGCCGTGGCTGTAGACGCGTCGGCCGAGTGTGGCCCCGCCGCCGTCTCGGCCCTTGCCGACGCTGCCGCCGCGCCAGCCAGGGGCTCTGGCATTGCAGCCGCCGACGAGCTGGCCGAGCCGCCGCGGCGAGCGGCCGAGCGCTTGGCGGCTGCTAAGCGCCAGGCCGGGGCCGTCGCTGCCGCGGCGTCCGCCGTCTGTTCGCCGTGCGCGCTCGACGACGAGCAGGGCGTGCACGATCTGGTAGGCCTTTGGGACCCTGCCGGACTCACTGCGAAGTTTAGAGTCCACCATCATCTGCTACAGCGCCCCGATCAGTTCGTGCGAGAAGGGGCAGGGGCAGCCGACGACGGCCAAGACGAGGTGGAGGAGGTCCTGGCTGAAGGTGAGTGTCGGAGGGGTCGACGAGGAAGTGGGGGAGGTCAGTGAGTTGGAGATGATGGTCGGGGGCGGGGGCGCTACCAAGGAGGTGGAGGAGGTTGCCGCGGATGTCGAGGAGGAGGCAAAGGAGGTCAGGAACGTTTCCGGCGGTACTTGCGATATGGATGGCGAAGAGGGCGACAAGGAGGTGGCCATGGAAGAAAAGGGGGGCGTCGATATGAAGGAGGCCGCCCACGCGGTCGTGGAGGTGGGCGTCAACAGGGGGTTCGATGAGGCTGTTCTGGAAGTTGGCGCTGAACGAATCTTATAAGTCTCGAGTTCCACGGGGATGGCGCCGATCGTGGCAGAGGACGCTTCCCGCGAAACATCACGTGCCCAATTTTGTGCACGCCGCCAATCTTGTCGACGTTGCACCACTAACGTTGTCGACGCTACATCACCAATCCTGTCGCTCTTGTGCACCAATCTCTGGGCGATGCGGGGTGCAGGGGAACCCTGGGGGAGCCAGGGTGGCAGACCCTAGACCCGCCGACGCTCCCTTTCCGTCCAAGTGGAGCCCCCGCCCAATCACAATCGGACAGGGACGAGACGGCGACGCTAAGAGAACGGAGAAGGATGACGAGGAAGGATGCCTGGATCCGGATGTCTCTGACCAGTATCTGCCTGGTGACAGCGTCCCAGACCCAAAGGGGCAGGGCGAGCTTGCCCTGCGCCGCCCTGTTGCTAACGGCCGCTTTGCGCCGCTGCGGCCTGCGTCGCCCGACCGCGACGGCTCGGGTCTGGTCGAGCATTGCGGCGGCGGGCGGGCGCATGGGGGCGGAGAGAGCCCCGCGAGCGAAGTTGCCCCAGGTCCCTGGTGGGCGGGCCGCGAGGGCGACGCCGTTGACTCCTCGGCAGGCGCGGGCGCCCCCGCAAGCTCGCCTGCGCCTTCCTGGCCCGCGCCGGCCAGTGGGGCCATGGGGCCGTGTGAATGAAAGCCTCATCCTAGCATTCCTGAGCGAGCATTCGCTAAGCTCCGGCCGCCTCCGCCTCGCAGAGCCCCTGATGCGCAGCGTGCAGAGCGTGGCCACGGGGCGCGAAACGGTGCGGGCAAAGCACCGTAACCGTTTTGGCTCAAGGACCGAGGCGCCAGCGCGCCTCGGCCGAACATGATTAGAACCCGTTGGTCCATCTGCGTGCGCGGCGCAGCCGCCGCCCGGTAGATCGGCCAATCGCAGGTTAGGGGCTTTGCGCTCTCTGCCGACTGAGCGAGGGAGGGGGGGGGGGCAGTGGATCCCTCGCGCCCGGGGCAACAAGCATCGACGGCGGTGTTTAGGTGCTTCCCGCCGTTGTGGCTCACGGCGGGCGCGCCCGCGGCGGGGGCGTCGCGGCCCCGGGAGCTGCGTTCCGAGGCCGTGGGGCCGCGCGAGGAGCTGCGCGCCGAGCTGCTCGTCGTGCAAGGGGGCTGGCGCCTAGCGCAGGAGGCTGCGCAGGAGCGCCGCCTGACCGTTGCGGACAGCGCGATGGCGAGCTTTTGGCTTCTCCTGTGCGGCGCGCTGGCGATGGCCATTCTCGCGGGCATCGCGATGCTGGGGGCAGGGGGCGCGTGTCTGAAGAACGCGCCGATTGCCTTGGTAAAGCACATCGTGTGCGTTTATGTTGTCAAACCAGGTTGGCTCTTGTTCGGGTGGGCTCTGGCTTGCGGCGTCGACGACGCCGCGGCCCGCGCGGCAAGTGCAGGGGGCGGCTTCGTGGGCGCCGACGGCCGGCATGCCAGAGGCTCCAACGATGTCGACGCTAATGGGGGGCATCACCTCCGCGGGCACCGCCCGTTGTTGGTGCTTCCAGTTAGCCTTTTTCACGGTCGTCGCGACCAGCGTCAGTGGCGCGGTCCCATTTTCGCAGGCTGAGCGCCATGTGCGCGGTGTGCACCTTCATGTGTGCACTTCTTTACCACGTGGTCGTCGCGCGGATCTGTGGGTGTGATTGGACCGGCGCCTTGATTGACTTTTGGAGTATCGATTTCGCGGGCAGCGCAGTAGTGCACGGGGCCGGCAGCGTGAGTGGGCTCGCGGGCAACATTGTGTTGGGGCCACGCGGGCGCTGCCGCGAGCGGCCCAATCAGTTGGACGAGAAGGGCCTGCCTCTCGTCTTTCTCTTGCTGGGCACCTTCATCCCGTGGCTCGGTTGGCGCGGCTTCAACTGCGGCCCCGTCCTCTCGGTGAACCAGAGAAGCGGTAGTCTGGCCGTCCAGGTTGCCATGGGCGCGACAGCGGCCGCCTCGACAGGCGGCATTTCCGTCTTCTTCTGGCGGCGCCGGGTCACGAGGGCGTGCGACAGAGGCGGCTTGTGCGGCAACATCCTGACCGGCCTGGTGTCCATAATGGCCGCTTGGGGCAATGCGGGGACTGGCTGCGAATTGTCATTGTGGCCCTCGTCGGCGCTTTCGTGTGCCGGGGCTCCTTCGCGCTGCTCCAGAGGCTCGCGATCGACGAGTCGGTCGACCCTGTCCCAGCCCATGGCTTCTTCCATTGCTTGGGCGTGTCACCTGGGGCGCTCTTCGACTGGGTCTTCTTTCTGATCGCTTCCGCGGTCGGCGCGGCTGCCGCTGCAGGATCAACGAGGGTGGTTGCGCCGGCGAGCGTGGGAGTTTACGCCGTGCGCGATGACGGTCCATTTTACAGGATTGCACCCCCGAAGTGTTGTCGCCGTCGCTGATTATATGTAGCACTTCTTTTTATGTATATATTATCTTTCTCCCTCTCTCTCTCTCTTTCTCTTTCTCTTTCTCATTCTCATTCTCTTTCTCTTTCTCTTTCTCTTTCTCTTTCTCTTTATCTTTCTCTTTCTCTTTCTCTCTCTCTCTCTCTCTCTCTCTCTCTCTCTCTCTCTCTCTCTCTCTCTCTTTTTTTTTTTTTTTTTTTTTTTTTTTGTTCTCTCTCTCTCTCTCTCTCTCTCTCTCTCTCTCTTTCTTTCTATATTTTTCACTCTCTCTCTCTCTCTCTCTCTCCCCCCCTCTTTCTTTCTCCATTTCCCTGTCCTCAGTCGCTGCGCCAACGTATCGATATGGTTGGTAATGTGCTCGTCGGTTCGTCTGCTGATGTCGCGTTTATCTTCTGGTGGCGCGCCCGTTTGAAATTTGTTGCGTTTCTTCCAGCAGTGCGCGACGTGCGCTTATGGCAGCAACAGTGCTGCGCGCAGCCTCGTTGTATTTATATAGGGGCGTGGAATGTGGCACTCCGCCTTTGCAGGGGGTCGCCTCCGCGCAGATAGGAACCCGTTCTTGCCGCGGTCCTCGTCCGAGGTCGCGCTTCGGCCACGCTGTAAAACATGTCAATCAGCGTTGGGCTGACTTTAGCTGGCGGCAGTCGTGAGACGGAGCGCGCCGACTGCTGAGCGCACCCCTGTTCCAGGCGTCTCACAGGAACGGAACAGCGAGGCTAATTATTGGTGCAGGCGCACCTTGCATTGTTGCACGGGCAGTCCGCGATCGCTTCAGTGCAGCGGGCGCGCGCGTGGGAGAACCGCGTCCGCGAGTGGCGGCTGAGGGGCTCATGGCTAGGCGGACGGAGCCGTCGATGCCGCCCCAATGTAAGGAGACTTGCAAGGCTCGAACAGCGTGTTTTCTCCCGGCGATTGCCGGACCTAGGCGACTGTCTTTCGCGAATATATCGTGGTGTCCTTGTCTTGGAGAGTCGCGCCTCTGAGGCGCGCGGCTGCGGACAGGTTCGCAGTCTTCGAGGCAAGCGGCGCCGGCCAATCAGGGATGGCGGCGCCCGGCCCGCGGCCAAACAGCACCGGGTCGTTCTGCGAGGGGCGCCGCGCGACTTGCAATTCTGTGCGCGCGGCGTGCTCAGCGAGGGGTGTGTGAATGAAAGCCTCGCCCTGGCATCCCTGAGCGGGCGTGCGCGTATCAGGCGCACCCTGAGTTGTCACTGATTTTTTATTGTGTTCGTGCCGCTTCTTTTCTCTCTTCATTTTCTTGTCTCTCATGTGCGATGTTATCGCTGCGTGTTCACTTTATGGTGCGTTTTTGTTTGTTTTTTTGTTTGTTGGTTTGTTTTTGTTTCATTTTTTGGTTGTTTTTTCTTCTTCTTCTTCTCGCAGGCCGAGAACCGTGCCCCGCGGGCGCGGCCGAAGCTCGAGCCGCCCTTCGTTCCCGATTTGCCGCTTGAGGCTTGGAGCGGTGATGTATTCGTGCGACTCTGCCCGGGGTGTGTGGCGGGTATCCGGCCGCCCCCCCGTTCGGGTCGCACGGGGGTGGGCGATGCGTCGAGTGTGGCTGGGCTCCGGCCGCCGCCTCGCCGCGCAGAGCCCCTGATGCGCAGCGTGCAAGGCGTGGCCGCGGAGCACGAAATGGCACGGTCAAAGCACCGTGGCCACTTTGGCTCGCGAACCGAGGCGCCAGCGTGCCTCGGCCGAAAATGGCAATGACCAGCTGGTCCATCTGCTAGCGTGGCGCAGCCGCCGCCTGGCAGATCGGCCAATCACAGGGCCGCCAGCCCCCGGTCGGAGGAAACAGACGAGCTGGACAGTCGCGAGAATTGCTTGGGCGGCGCAGCGGCGGGCGACCCTGGGGTGCGAGCTGAGGTCTAGAGCATTCCCGCGCCGGCTATCTCGGTGGGCTCGTCGCGGACTGCGGACTGGCAGCCGTCGCCGCGGGCGGCGGCGGCGGCGGCTGCGCGCGACTGGCGCGCGCCTCCCGCCAGTCCCCCGCCGGTCATGGCGCGCGCGCCCGCTGCGGAGGCGCCGTCTGGAGACCGACCCTGCCTCGGCCGGCAAGCGCAAGGCGACCTTTGGCAGATGGTCAAGGAGGAGTTGACTGACTCCCCGTGGACTCGTGAACGCTGGGGCCACTTTACCTGGAGCGACAGAAAACAAGGGGAGGGGCGAGCTCGCCCAGGAATTGTCTCACGACTGGTCGTGATCGACTTCCTATGCTCCCTGCCGACGCGCGGGCGGCAGCCGGCTGGCACCGGCGCCCCGTCGGCCTCGACGGGCCCGACTGGCCAGTTTGAAACGGCCGGGCGTCCCGACTCGGTCGGGCACCCGGCTGGCCTGGCGGGCGCCCCCGAGAAACAGCTCGCGGCCCGCGTTGGGCGGCTGGGCGGCCAGAGCAGGATAGCTTGGAGAGCTCATTTCGCGCAGTTCGGTGGCAGCGCGCTGGGCGCGCGGTGGCGCGGCGCGGGCTTCCTGCGCGTTTTTCCCGCGGCGCGCGAGTGGGGCGCCGCGGTGCGGTCTGCTGCGTCGGGCGGTCACGCGCTGGACAGGCGCCGATCTGTCGCCGCCCAGCTCTAGTCACAGACCGATCTGTCGCAATTTGCGCCGGGCTGCTCACCGCTCCACCTCCGCCCTCGCCCCCCGCCCATGTCTCGGCCGGTCAATGTCCCCTCGGGGAGGGGGCGCGTGGCCGACGGGGCTTTCGAGGGCGACGTCGCGCGGCGAACGGCGGCGCGAACTGGTCCGAGGCTATGCCTCGCCGCCGCCCATGCTCTGCGACTTGTCACTCTGGGCGCTGGCCGATGTTTCGCCTCGTGATCTCGCCGTGTGTCACCCGTGCTTCACATGTTCTTGCTTCGCCACTCCTGGCCTTGGGCCTTGGTGTGTCTTGTTTTCTGTCGGTGGTGGCGCGGCTTTCCCGCCGCCCTCCGGCGGCGCTCCCTCCCGCGGTGGCTCGTTCGCGCCCTCCTTTTCCTCGGGGGTCGCTCGGTCTTCGCCGTCGTCGATCGGTCGTGGCATCGGCCGTGTCGCGGGCCCCCCCGCCGTCGTCTCTTCGGGCTCCCCTTCTGCCCCTCCCTCCTGCTTCCAGGTCGCCCCCGCCGCTCTCTCTCTCTCTCTCTCTCTCTCTCTCTCTCTCTCTCTCTCTCTCTCTCTCTCTCTCTCTCTCTCTTTTTTTTTTTTTTTTTTTTTTTTTTTTGTTTTTTGTTGTTGTTTTTGTTGTTTTTGTTTTTTGTTTCTTCCTCCTCTTCTTCTCTCCCTGCCTTCTTCTTCTTCTGCCTCTTCTTCTGGCCGTGGGCGTTTTTGAGGCCAGGAAAATCCGATTGTCGCTCTGGTCGCGCGCTGGCCCGTCGCTTGGGCTTCTCGCGCGCGTTGGTGGCGCCTTTTTTCCGTCGGTCCGCGGCCCGCCCCTGTTTCTGTCGTGCTCCCCGGGCCTCGCATTGGGGTTGCTTGCCGCTGCGTTTCTTTGCGCCGTCGTGCCCGCAGTTCGTCGGTATTTTTATGTCATGCCGCCTCAGGCGGCGGCCTTCTGGTCGCCGTGCCTGTGATCCATCTAGGGTGTCTCGGGGCGCGGCCTGGCGGTGCCTCGCGCCCCTCGTGGTGCCCGGGGCGCTGGCGCTCATGCGTTCCCGGGGGCGTGCGTGGCGATTTCCACGGGCGCCGCTTGTCCTTTTTTTTTTTTTTTGTCTGTTGGCAGCTTGTCCAGTGGTGGCCTTGCCGCCTTGCTGCTCGCGCCGTGGCGTGGGTGCTGGCTGGCATGGCCGCGGCCTCTTTAAGTTTGTGTTTGCGCTGCGTTTGGGGTGTGCATCGCTCCTGGGGCTGCAGGTCGCATCTCGCTGGGTTCAGCTGCTCGTCAGCTCGCGTGCCAGCGGTTGGCGCAGCCAGGTGGTGGGTTCGCTTGCTTGTATGTCTCCACCTGATTGCCTCTGGTTGTGTGGTGCGACTTTGAGGTGGTCCGTGCAGGTATCATATCGTCCACGCGATTGCTTTTGGTTTCGGCTCCCATCCCTGGATGACGCAGTGTTAAGTGCGGTGGGTTTCCGTTTTCAACGGTGGCGCCCGGTCTGCGCGTTGGCCGCGCGCGCGCCGCCCACAGCCGGTGGATTTTCTCGTGCTGTCCACCGCCCACGTGCGACCCCGTCGTTGGCTGCCGCGGTCGCCCGCGGTCAGCTCGTCTATTCGGTTTGGCTTTTGTCTCGAACGCGCGCTGCCCCGCGCTGCTCGCGCCTGCGCGGCGTTCTGCCGTGTTCGTTGCTTTCGGCGGCGGCGCTTGTCTCGCCTTTATCTGTCTCGCGCCGCCGCGTGCTGTCTAGTGTGGCAGTCGAGCGTTTTTTTTTGTTGTTGTTTTTTTTTTGTTTGTTTTTTTTTTCCTTCTTCCTCATAGAGGCTAGTAGCACCGGACCGCTGCCGCGCCTCATCTCCCGGCGTCGAGCTACGCGCCGAGGGATGCTTGGCCGCTGCGCTCTACTGGCCAATTCGCACCAGATTGCTGCCCGCGCTACAACTCCTGGCGTTGAGCTACGCTCCGCGGGATACTTGGCTGCTGCGCTTTGGCTTTCGAGTGCCCCATCTTTTGCACCCTTACCAGCATGGCCATGGCTGAATCCTTTCATCACGGCGCGTTCGATGATGTTCGTTCGCAATTGGTACCTCCATCTGCCGACCGCGCCTGAGGTTCCTCTGCGCCGCCGACGCGAAAGTGCGTGTGTCTGGCGCTATGGCGCGTTGACCATTTTGAAAAACGAGCGAGAGATTCCGTTTGAAGATGACCCGCCCTCCGCTCGTGTATCCATCGAATGTGTTTTCAAATGAGGTTTTGCGGCGCCTGTGTGAGAGCTTCGTTATGAAATCGATTCGTCCTCCACCCGCGGATTTGTTTTTGTTGGTGTTTGGCAGGTTTCAAGATCGTACGCGGTGAGGGAGCTGCAGGCAACTGCCACGACCGCCGTAACGACGCGTATGGTGGCGCGATAGGGAAGGGTTGTTTACCATCAGGAAGAAGGATGGCGGACGAGAGACGAGGATGACGGATGAGAAGATCTTCGATCTAATATTGATCTGGGGCTCCTCGCTTCTGTCAGAGGGCCGACCATCCTGCTGGTTTCTCCTTACGAAACACGGTGGTCGCTCGCAAGCGCCCTCCGTGGTTAATGCTCGAGGTCAGGGTATTCATTTGTGTAGGCCACAGCGAGCTTTGGGGGCGTATCATGTCCCGCCAAGTGGAGGAGTAGGTACGGGGTGGAGGAGGAAGAGGGAGGGGCGGAGTTGTCCTCGACCCTCGAGGGTCGAGGATGGTAGTCTTGTGCATTTTTGTGGGGCGTCCAGGATGATTGGTGGGGGTGCGGGGACGAGGAGGAGGAGGAGGAGGAGGGAGGAGGAGGAGGAGGAGGAGGAGGAGGAGGAGGAGGAGGAGGAGGAGGAAGAGGAGAAGGAGGAGGAGGAGGAGGAAGCAGGAAAAGGAGGAACAGGAGGAGGAGGAGGAGGAGGAGGAGGAGGAAGCGAGATAGAGAGAGAGAGAGAGAGAGAGGAGCGAGCACCGAGGAGGGAGGAAGCGTATGCAGGACGATGAAATTGATGATGGTGATGCTGATGCTGCTCTGATGACTATGGTGGTGATGATGCTGACGATGCTGATGATGTTGCTGCTGCTGGTGCTAATGAGGGTGACTGTAAGGATGCTGATGAGGATGCATATGGTAATGCTGATGATGCTGCTGCTGCTGCTGCTGCTGATGATGATGATGATGATGATGATGATGATGATGATACGGATGAGGATCATGATTTTGGTCGTGGTGGTGAGCATGCGGCTGCTGCTGCTGCCGATGATGCTACTGGTGCTGCTGCTGCTGGTGATGATGATAATGGTGGTGGGGATGATGCTGATGAGGATGATGATGATGATGATGACGATGACGATGGTGCTGATAGTGATGATGTTGATAATGTTGCTACTGATGATGATGATGATGATGATGATGATGATGATGATGATGATGATGATGCTGCTGCTGCTGATGATGATGATGATGATGTTGATGATGATGATGATGATGATGATGATGATGATGATGATGCTGCTGATGATGATGATGCTGATGATGATGGCGATGCTGCTGATGATGGTGATGATGCTGGCTATACTGCTGTTTCTGATCATGACGGTGATGGGGATGATGATGACGATGATGGAAGTGATGAGGACGATTATGTTGCTGATGATTATGATGCTGTGATGATGATGGTGATGATGGTGATGATGCTGATGATGAGCATGATGCTCATGATGATGACGATGATGCTGATGACGATGCTGATGCTGGTGATGATGATGATGATGCTGATGCCAATGATAATGCTGCTGATGATGATGATGATGATGATGATGATGATGATGATGATGATGATGATGATGATGATGATGGTGATGATGATGACGAGGAGGAGTAGGAGGAGGAGGAGGATGATGTGGAGCATGAGGAGGATGAGGATGAGGATGAGGATGAGGATGAGGATGAGGATGAGGATGATGATGAGGTTGGGAAACAAGAAGAGGAGGATGAGGAGGAGGCGGCGGAGGAGGAGGAGGCGGTGGAGGAGGAGGAGGAGGATGAGGAGGAGGAGGAAGAAGAAGAAGAAGAGGTGCACGATGGGGAGGAGGATGGCTGGCCTTGCAGGCCCTCCAGCCAGGAGCCTTCCTTCAACAACACCGTGCTGGAGGGCTTTCTCGGGTTGACCGCTGTCGTCCTTGGGGGCTGCACGACGATGCTCTTCTGGCAGATGAGGGGTGGCTCCAAGCTGGCGAACTCGCATTTCGGTCCCAAGCAGCAGGAGAGACAGGCGGTCATGACGACATGGTGATGCTGCTGATGATGATGATGATGCTGATGATGCTGATGCTGATGATGCTGATGATGCTGATGATGATGCTGATGGTGCTGATGATGCTGACTGTGAGGATGATGCTGATGATGATGTTGATGATGATGCTGTTGTTGATAATAAGAATCATGATGCTGCTGCTGATGATGATGATTATGATGATGCTGATGATGACGTTGATGCTGCTGCTGATGATGATGCTGATGACGATGGTGATGCTGATGATGACGACGATGATGATGCTGATGATGATGCTGATGCTGATGATGATGATGGTGATGATGATGGTGATGATGGTGGTGGTGCTGGTGGTGGTGGTGGTGGTGATGATGATGATGATGATGATGATGACGAGGAGGAGGAGGAGGAGGAGGAGGAGGAGGATGAGGAGGACTGACGCTGGAATCTATAAGGATTGAAGTCCTGTCAACGCAACAAGGAGGATGAAACTGTCATGGGAGCCCCGTGATAATGAAACACAGACCAACCACCCGACGAGGTTCTCGCAGAACGGTTGGCGGTGCAAATGAGGGCGGGTCCGAAACGGTGGAGTACATCACGTAATCTCATGAGTTCTTGCCTCGTGATCATCCAGTGGTGCGGGACGGTCAGAACATGTACCAGGAGTATCGGGCCAAGATGAAGAGGACTGATCTCCATGCATGAAGCAGTTTCGAGGCCTGCCCGAGAGGATGCTGATGATGCTGCGTGCAGCACAGCGGCGGGGAGAGGGCAATCAAATGGACAACAGTTTGGCTTCGCGGTGGGATCGGCCGTAAGCCCAGGGGAGAGGTCCCAACGGTCTTAGGGTCCGAAGAAGTACACAGTACATAATGGTATCTTGACTTGCACTGTCGCCGGGTATAGGGAAGATGCTGATGCTGCTGCTGCTGCATGCAGCGCAACGGGAGGAGGGGGCGAGCAAGTTGAGCAATGAATGCACGTGCTCGTTGACGTTCGACCAGGAGAGGGTACGGCCCCCCAGCCCGCTGCTCGGGACCCCTGGTCGTGGGCGCAACGTCCGAGGCCGCGGAGGTCCTGTGCAGGCAGTGGTGGGACGCGTGGGGCGGGGCCGCGACGGACTTTTCGGCGGCGCGCGCGGGGGGGCAACGAGAAGGAACAGGCCTTCTGATGCGGCGGCATGGCTTCCCAGAAGCCCTCGCGCCTTCTGCGAAGTTGTCTGTGTGTTTTCGGGGAGTGCTTCGAGAACTTCTCGGAAGGCTGAGGCCTGCTGAGCCCTCTGAGAGGGCCCGCCCCCTCTCGCTTCCCCCCCTGGGCGCGCCGCCGATCGTGGGGCGGGGCCGCGACGGGGCTCTTGGCACGCTGCGATCCTGGCCCGCGAGCCCTTGGAGCAGCCGCCCATCGAGAATGGCCACAATCAAGGGCAGAAAAACGCCCCTACCCTGGTTTACGAGGCGCTGTGCGCTGAAACTCCTGTGGGCCGACAGGGCAAACCCTGCGTGATGTACCGCGTCCTGGCGGCTCTAGGCTTTGGTGGTTCCCAGGAGGTTTACAGACCGCGCACTTGTAACCCAGGGTAGGGTCGTTTTTTTCATCCCTCAGCACAAGCTGATGCAGATCAGCGCGGGTTTGAATCACGTGGTGAGGGAGCAGGGAGAAGCTCGGAAGCCAGGTCGAGCGCCACGGGGTGAGATGGCCAATCAGCTCCTCAGCAATGAGCAATTGGTGCGATAGGTGGAAGCGGCGGGGCTCCGCGGCCCGCGCGGGCCGTCAGCGGGCGGGGGTTCATGTCCAGGCTTCTCGCTCAGGGCTCCACGGGCGCACGGGCCTCAGGCGGTTACACTGGGGGTCCTCTGGGGCCATCCCCTCTGGCCTGTCCCGCCTTCTGGCAGAAACTCCTGTTCGCGGCGCTGGAACCACTCTGCCCGACTACTTTTCCGTGGATGAGCCCGCGGGCCAGATTTCTTGCAGGTCGATGCGCCCACTTTGAAACGCAACACGTGCCGTGCTTAAAATGTCCGTGTCGATACGTTGCGTGTTGGCTCAGCAAGTTGGCCCACGTTTTGGCGAACGTATCGCGTCATATTTACGTTTCCAGTCTACGCATTGAGCTCAGTACCAATACGCTACATAATGCGTGTTGCGAATTGGGGCAGCTCAGGTGCCGCCGTGTGAAAGCAGGCGGCCAAGCCTGCGGCGGCGGCGACACCCCGCCGCGCGCGCGCCGCCCCGAGGCCGGCGCGAGCGCGCGGCTCGGGCAAGGCGCAGCGATGCGTGAGTGGCGAGGCGCAGCGCGGCGTGGGCCGTGCGAAACGCATCGCTTCGCAGGTGCGGAGACTTCAGAAAGGCAATAGTTGGGTGGGGAGGAGGGGGCTGGGAGTAATGGTCATCTCATGAATCTCGCCGCGTATGTTGAAGGTGCTTACTACACAGTCGTACGCTGTATCTTCCCAGCCCCTTCCATCCAACACGACATCTGTCTTTCTCAAGAGTGCGGTTACAGCAGTCGTGGCGCGGCGCGCCTCGCCGCTGCGTCGTTTTGCAGGTTTGCTCTTTCTGGCTGTGCCAGACACGGCGCAGCGCGGCGGGGGCCGCGCGAATCGCGTCGTTGCGCAGGTCCAAAGGACTGGTCACGACAGTCCCAGCCTGGCGCGCCGCGCCGCGCGCGCCGCGTCGCTTCGCAGGCGCGATCTTCATTCCACGCGACGCGCGTCGCTGCACGCCCGTCGCGCGTGCGCCTGGCTGCGTCGCGGTCTCTCTGGTTGGGTGTCCTGTGGGGTCCTAGTGGTGTCTTGCGTGGTTTTGTGTCCCGGGGGGCCTCGCGTCCTGGGTCCTGGTGTTCTGGGGGGTTTTGGGGGTGGTCGGCGTCCCACGGGGTTCTAGGGGAGGAGGAGGGGGAGGAGGAGGAGGAGGAGGAGGAGGAGGAGGAGGAGGAGGAGAAGGGAGCTGGAGGAGGGAGGGGGGAGGAGGGAGGGGGGGGAGGGAGGAGGAGGGAGAGAGGAGGAGTGAGGGGGGAGGAGGGCGGAGGAGATAGGAGAAGGGAGAGTGGAGGAGGGAGAGAGGAGGCAGAGGAGGGGGAGGAGGGAGGAGGAGGGATGAGGATGAGGGATGAGGGAGGGAAGGAGGGAGGGGGAGGGAGGGAGGAGGGAGGGAGGGAGGGAGGGAGGGAGGGAGGAGGAGGGAGGGAGGGAGGAGGAGGAGGAGGAGGAGGAGGAGGAGGAGGAGGAGGAGGAGGAGGAAGAAAAAGGTCTTCGTTGGGGGGTTTTGGGGTTTCCGCGTGCTTTTTTGGTTTGTCCTGCTCGCGCGTGGGCGTCCCAGCGGTCCGTGGGCCCTTGTGGGTCCTCTTGGTCCCTCGCTTCTCTGTGGCATGGGGTGCTCTCGTGGCCCTTGTGGTTCCGGCAGCCTGGCGTGTTCTGCAGGAGGAGGAGGAGGAGGAGGAGGAGGAGGAGGAGGAGGGAGGAGAGAGGAGAGAGGAGGGAGGAGGAGGAGGAGGAGGAGGAGGAGGAGGAGGAGGAGGAGAGGAGGAGGAGGAGGAGGAGGAGGAAGAGAGGAGGAGGAGGAGGAGGAGGAGGAGGAGGAGGAGGAGGAGCCCACGCGCGGGAGAGCGGGGGCGTCTGGGTGTCTTGGGCGTCTGTGTAGTTCCGGCAGGTTTGGCGTTTCTTGGGGAGCTGTGGTGGGCTTTGGGGCGGGTTGGTTGGGAAGTCCTGGGCAGTCTCCCTCGGGGTCTGGCGCCCTCGTGGGCCGCGGGGCTCTCCTGGCCGGGCGGGCAGTCTTGCCGCACTGCGTGCCCGCGGCTCATACCGAGGTCACGCGTGTGCCGCATCGCACCGCGCTGACGGCCTTGCCGCATTGCCGGCCCGCGATGGTCTCGCTGCGCCGCATTGCCCCTACGCTGACGACCGCGCCTTTTCCCTGGCTTCGACGTTTCCATGAGTCACGCGATACCGGCGTGCCCGGGACGCGCTGCCGTGCCCATTGAAAGAGCAGACAGAAGAGATCATGGTTGGTGCGATCGCGCGCGCAGATCCCGCCAGGGCAGGTTGGCGCTCGCAGGCAGGGCGCGCTGTCGCGCGAGGGCTCGTCTCGAGAAGCAGGTGTGGTGAAGAGCTTTGGTGTTGCGCCGCAGCACTTTCGTATCATGTCGCGCGTTGTTGATTTGCTTGAAGTGCTTCTGGGCGTCGGTGGACGCGATGCCGAGCGGCTGTGGACAGTGACGGGCGCTTTCGCTGGTCAGGGTCGAGGACGTCGCCGACCTCGCCGATTTTCGACGCACAGCGTTGGCCAAGTTTGCCGTGGCACCGCGGCGGCGCGCCTCGCATCTGCGCGCGAAAGTCGTTGTTGGGGGAGGGTCTCGGACGACAGCTCAAGCGGGGCATCGTGAAGCCTTGTCTCCATACAGATCCGAAGACTCGGCGGCCTGCGCGCGCTCATCTCGAAGGCGACGAACGCGCGGCGGGCAGGGGCGACCTGGGCGCCCCTGTGCCGAGAGAAATCTGGCAGCTGGCTAAGGCCATTCGGGCCGAGCAGCCTCTCGCAAGCGCGTCGGCGTCATTATGTTGCAGTGGCGCATGGCTTGGGGGTGGCGCATCTCCTGTGCTGCTTCCGCGTCCAGGGGGTGTCGTTTGCTCCTCTCGCGCGACGGATGCAGCGTCGCGGTGGGCGTCGCCGGCATGCATTCCCTCGCAGATGCCGCGGCGCCTCGTGATGCGTGCATGCCGGCGGGCGCCAGCACGCGCTGGCGATCGTCCCATCGCGCCGCGCCTTGCGAGGAGGCGGGCGCCGCCTGGGATCAGGGGCGCCGCGTCCAGCCGGGCCTGGCGCGCGACGGCATGCTCCGCGAGGCGTGGGCGGGGCGTGGCCCCTGCTGCTTCCACCGCCACGGCGGCGATGAGAGCTCTCGGCGTTCCTCCGCCTTGCCGTGGCCGCGCAAGGCGCGCGGCCGAGAGCGAGCGCACTCGCGCGCCGCCTCTCGGGGCGCAGGCAGAGTGCCATAGGTC